AGTGAGAGCGAAGATATCACGCTGGAGAGAGGTTACTATTGAAGTGCCACAATGGTCGGTCCTAGGAACCATATAACATATGTCAACGAAAATACTTTATATCAATGTTTGCAGATGATGCAAAACTAACGAGAAGTCAGTAAAGGGTGGTACTGTGACACTATGCAAACAGAACTGAACATATCCCAGAAGAAGTCTAATAAATGGCTGCTAGAATTTAACGCAGCCATATGCAAATTTATGAGGATGGCAACTTGAGTGAGAAGGCTTGTACAGCAGTATAAAATAAACAGGAGACAGATCTTTGTCCCAAAAATGATAAAGAACTGGGAGTACATATAACCCCAGATGTAATACCAACAACACATATTAGCAGAATAACGTCAGCAGCATTTGCCAAACTGACCAAAGCTTGTGTAGCCTATGTGAAACCGACTGTTGAATATGTGGTATGGGCATGGAACTCTTACCAGTAGAAAAGGCAAGTCAAAACTAGAAAATGTCCAAAAATATGAAACAAAGCTCGTTCTTGAGATGAAGAGCTTGAGCTACAAGGAAAAAACAGGGAACTGAACCTCATCACACTGGAGGAGTGAAGGAATAGAGGGAACATGATAACAAATAATATTGCAAGAAGAATTGACAAGTAGACAAAGAAACATTATTCAGACCTTGGAACAGCAGAACAAGGGGCCATAGATGTAAACTAGACACAAATGAGTCAGAGAAGTCACAAAGATGATTATTTTTTATATAAGTGGGTACAATAGAAAATTTATCGCTCTTGTTAGTAGGCTTCGAGCTTTCCCTTTCCTCAGCGCATGTTAAGCCTTACCCTACTACAGTAATTCCCACTGAAACACGACCCATTGAGTGAAGAATTTAGAATCGACGTCAGTTGAACCTCCCTATCCAGGGCTCGAACCCGGCCGAAATCGTTCGCGAGCCATGGGACAAGTGATCGAAATACTACTGCTCCAAATGCACAAATTTTATATGTAAATTGGTCAAGAAAAACGTGAGGATTGAGGCACTGCATTAAACTAAGAACGTTAGAAAGACTAACCTATATGGGTTTATGCCCAAGAGTAGTACACAAGCATGTTTTGAAGAATATTTAGTGCAGGGCCAGTAACCCAGCTCGTCCTTACACACACACACACACACACACGTCAAGAGTAGTTAACAGATGGAATGCATTAGGCAGTGATGTGGTGGAGGCTGACTATATACACTGCTTCAAATGTAGATATGATAGTGCCCAGTAGGCTCAGGAATCTGTACATCAGTTGATTGACAGTTGAGAGGAGGGACCAAAGAGCCAAAGCTCAACCCCCGCAGGCACAATTAGGTGAGTACAATTAGATGAGTACAAAGCAAATGTTAAAAAAATACCAGTATGCATTGAGGACAGTAAACAAATGGAACGAGTTTGACTCAAGAGATGGTGAAAACAATCTCTGTCCACACTTCAAGATCAAATACGCAATACGACAGTGCTAGAAAGCTTAGTTATACAGGTATATAAGATCAAAATAGCAAAGACGAGAGCCTCAAGATCTCGTTTCCTGTAGACACAACTAGGTAAGTGCATCTAATTACAAGGAAGTTTGTGAGGAGCTCATTAAAAGATTTTAAGAGTGCTTTGGACTTGAAGAACAGTTGCCAGAATAGGGTTAAGAGAACACAACGACTCACAGCACTGGAGTAACAATATAGTCAGAGTATCCAAGAGCAACGCCAATTCAACCCAGAATCAATGGCATCAACGTTGAATTAGCATTGATAACGTTGATTCAATGTGGCACTAACGCCAATTGGATTTTATGGCCAGTGGGGACGAAACAAGGAAGGGAACTATCAGGGGGAAAGCGCCAAACCATTACGACTATATAGCACTGGAAAGGGGTTAGGATAAGGATTGGGGATGGGACGGAGGGAAGGAATGGTGCCCAACCACTTGCACGGTCGGGGATTGAGCAACGAACGCCGACCTGCATGGAGCGAGACTGTCGTTCTACCGTCTTGTCCAAGTGGTTGGGCGACGAAACAAGGAGACATGTAAGGTAACTGAACTGAACATGACAAAGGTGATCTGATCAAAGAAAATCTCGGCATAGAAGCTTATGGAGCGGGCTGTGTCATTAAACAGGACAATGGTAAGCATCTGTGACATTATTTGAAACTGGAAGAATTCAATCCAGTTGGAAAACAAGTCAACATAGTACCATTATATATATCAATAAAAATGATGTATTACCAGAAATTATTGCTCTTGAATCAATTAATTGTACTATGGAAGATTATTTGTATATACTTCAAACTATGTAACTAGCTTGTTATGATTATTATTTGCTTAGCTTAATCAATTTTGGGGTTCAGTTCCTGAGCCCATTATGTGCCTTTGTAACCTTTCCCACTACCGCCCTATTACCTATTAATTTATTATGCGGTGCATAATAAATTAACAAAACCAAAACATTAAAAAAAATGCTCCGCTTTGTAAAAAAAAAAAAAAATCTATGCACCGGCCTTGATAAATTAGGAGGGTTGTTTGGGTTCGTACCTTTCTGGTTAGGCAAAAGTTGCTTTTTTTTATACAGTGGGAAATAGAGAGAATGGGGTGGAGCAAACAGTTTTACGTACGGTCGCTAATACTCTCTTCCAGTGTTTCATTGCATTGAAATATGCGTTGTTTCGCCACCTGTGTGGGACATGACACATCTATACGTGTCCAGAAGACTACATACGACAATTAAAACTAAAATCACTTACCAAACAGTATATACTGATGGGCTTAGATAAAAACACATGCAATGGGGCGTCCAGGATGCTGGCACAGAAGGGGAGGTCCAGGCTTGACGTCAGGCGCCTGGGCACGCCATGTAAGCCTGGGCACGCCATGTACGCCTGGGCACGCCATGTACGCCTGGGCACGCCATGCACGTGTGGGCACGCCATGCACCAGGCATACCCTAAGCACGACTACCATCTCCCTCCACGCCAGGGACAACCACCACTCTACATTGGAAAAGTTCACCCTCTCAGGTTAAAGATAAATATGATTATATATACGGTTTCCGATATCAAGCCACAATAATCAAGATAAGTTGTTTTAATTCCGAATTTGAATAAATATTTACTAATACCTTATCATGTTTTTTTATTAGGTTTCCGCGCCAAGATTTTAGCTAAAAAATGTCAATGGCGATTTTTTTAGATGAATAAAATTGAGTCAGATTACTAGGTTTACTTTAATGTTACTTGGTAAAGTTAAATTTAAAGTTTGCAAGTTAAAAGTGCACTTTCTGTACAGGTTGGTGTAGTAATTAATACTTGAATGTAATACACTTATTGAATACTATTGTGTTATTATTCATTTACAAGTTATTTTAACTGTTTAAACATGTTATGGTCGTCAGTCTTGCCAATATGCATTCCATAATTTTATATATTTCGGGTGAGCATCGCTATTTGTGCAATGGAAACATTTGTGTCACATATTACACTTTACGTTTGGTATTTTACCCTTGGAAAAAGTAATAATGTTACGCCTCTCCAAACAGTTCCTACATTATTTTATTTGACATGAACCTTTGTGAGACAAATTGTGTCTGAAACACGGAAAATTGTTCCTGGTGGCGCTGAGAGCATCTTATAAGACAAAGGTCCGCTAGCAAGAAATAAGACGAGCTAAAGCCTGCTCTCTCCCTGCGCAACACTTTCGCAACACAACTGTCTCTTGCTTCTGTCCATTCCACAAATATAATAAAGATTGACTTTAGTAGTGCGGTGTCTATATCCACAGTACAGTGCGATGTCTTTATCCACAGTACAGTGCGGTGTCTATATCCACTATCCGCAGTACAGTGCGATGTCTATATCCACAGTACAGTGTAATATGCATATCCACAGCACAGTGTGATATGTGTATCCACAATATAGTGTGACAATCTGTGTGTGTATAATTCGTGTGTGCAATATATGGGGTTTGGCAAAATATGTATGTATTGATCTTAAACCCTTGAAGTTTGCAAGATGATAAGAACATTACTGCAATAATCTTACTGATTTTTGAGAGAGAGAGAGAGAGAGAGAGAGAGAGAGAGAGAGAGAGAGAGAGAGAGAGAGAGAGAGAGAGAGAGAGAGAGAGAGAGAGAGAGAGAGAGAGAGAGAGAGAGAGAGAAAGGAGAGAGAAAGGAGAGAGAAAGGAGAGAGAGAAAGGAGAGAGAGAGAAAGGAGAGAGAGAGAGAAAGGTTAGAGAGAGAAAGGTTAGAGAGAGAAAGGTTAGAGAGAGAAAGGAGAGAGAGAGAGAAAGGAGAGAGTCTGATTCAGTCTCAGAAACAAATGAAAATATTTCTGTTGTTCTCCTGTTCCTCTAACTACTCATTTCTCCTTTTCAAATTCAGGTCAAATTTCCAAAACCTTTTAAAGGTTAAACATTTAACACCATTGTACAACAATAAAGCAAGTTGTACCTCCATATTAGAGGTGGTATTTGATTGACATTTTCATCTGGCATGGTAATTAAAAAAAAAAAAAACATGGTGAATATTACAAAATCGTTAATTTTTCAACATTTTACCCTACATACCAGGCAATCAGGTGTGAATCACTGCTCCCTCAGTGAATAAATAATATTTCTAAATGAGCACTACTTCCAGGAAGTTTTGATAATTTCCAATGTTTACATGCACAACGAAGATAAAAAAAAAGTTTAAACAAACTTATATATGGTATAGTAGTACTGTATTAAAAGAAATACAGCCATAATAAACCCAAATTGTATTGGATATTACCCACTGGTTTTGTAGTATATAAATATCCATATTATACATATCAGTGTAAATTATAGACCCAATGCCTCTCAACAGTATACATGCAGGTTTACTGTAGACAACTAAGTGTAACAGGGGACAAGACACAGTACTGCACATTACTATAAACATTCTGTCAATTTAATACAGCATTTCAGGTTCTTGTTTTAGTAAAATTAGAAGAAAATACTGTAACAATTTACTTGAGGAAAATTCAATCACATGGTACAATAAATACAAATGAACACCTGTACTGTATTTGCATGTAGTGTACTACCTGGTCCCTACATTGCCCAGAAACATTATACCATGCCATGTCTGTATTTGAAATGTATTTCTTGCACACTAAGTTATATGCTATACAGCATTTAAGATTTTCCCCCAATTTTTTTTGACATCACATAAAAACATCTTTAAACTGTACTCCAATTTATGAGTATAAATGTGTGCTGAGAAATTCTGTGCTGCCCAATCGCTGAATACGAGATAATAATGTCATTTACTCATTGGTTTGAAATATGCGTATAAAGAAAGGCAATCTGTACAGCGGGTACTGTACAATACTGTGTACAAAAGTAAGGAAATAAAATCATTAATGCCAGAGAAAACAGGAGAGCAGTACATGACCTTATAGAGAGACATGTGGGATCGAAGAATGTGTATCAGATCACAATGTCATAACATTAAGTGTATATAATGTGCAATAATGATTAAAAATATAGTGAAAGTTCAAAGCACTATGGATCGTTTGATAATAATACATCAATGAAGAATTGCCTTATGTAGCAATTTGAGGAATTCACACACACACAAAAAATGCTTTTGTGAGCCATACACTTTTTCAAATAATAAAATATTTTTTAATTATATTTAGCTCATGCATACTTTCCAATAAACCATAGTTAATTATCACTTTTTTTTACTTATATTACTACTTTCTACATACAGAATCAAGGGTCATCAATTTAATTATAATTACCTACATCCATTTCATATATACCTCACTTACAATACAGTATATGAAGCATCAATGCAAATCCATTATTTACATTCTGTACTGAATTTTCAAATAAAATTTGTCAATCTCATTCAATGCCCTTTACCTAGGTAGAAGCAAATGTATCAAGCATCAATAGGAATATAGTATATCAATGGAACACAGTAATGTATATGCATGTGCAGGTAGTTAAAGAAACTTAAATGCAATATTGTATAAGCAAATACTAAAGAACAAACCAAAGGCACTTATATTTCAAGAAAACCCAATCAATATATTGCACACTAAAAGGATCAAATGAAATAAATATTAAAGAATGATTGATTGATGGAGGATTAGAGATGAAAGCAGTAACTTGATGCAAAGATTATTGCTTAATAGGAGGGATGTATGATTGGGTGATAGCAGGGAGAAGTAAGAAACTAAAAGTCTGTGTGATATACGAGTGAGAATTCATGCAGACTTGCAGAAAGGTCAAGTCTTTCAAAAAAATATAGTACTCTATTAACAAAAAAAAAACTTGTAAAGGAAAGTTATCACACTATTTTTAAATAAAGAAATGCTCAAGAAAGTAAAAAATATAAAGGATGAGGAGAAAACCTACTACAGGTAGTCAAAGGTTTCTACACTATTAGGAAGACTGGAAAGAGATCTATAGTAATAAGAAGATGCACATTAACTAATGCATTATACAACAAATTTGGTACTGTGTAGTGCATAGAAGATAGAAATTTTTTCCCATGTATATAATGTGCAATAATGCTTAAAAATATGGTGAAAGTATCAAAATACTAAGGCGCGTTTGAAAATACAGTAATACATCAATGATAAGGCTTGAAGAAATGTTCGTAGATTTGTTCGTAGTACCTGTGAAGCACATCTTTAAAATTGTTCTTATTTAGAAGGTGAAGGCTTTAAGGATGTATTGTACTATATATGGAAAAGTTTTGTCAAGATTTTATATACATTTTAGTTAGGCTTTATAAAAATATCGAAAATAGCAGCATATAATCTAGGACATTTTCTGAATTTATTCATTATCAACTTGAATAAATTAAACCATAGTTAGCACTTATGATACTGTTTTTTTTTTTATTTTACACACAGGTGGGTACAGGATCTGTTGATCAGTTAGAGATTCCAAGGATTAGTATCCCACGAGCTGGTCTCTGACCAGGCCTCCTATTTGTTGGTCTGACCAACAAGGCTATTGGGTGTGGCTTGCTCGTAGCCTGACATAAGAGTCACAGGCTGGTTGATCAAATATCCTTTAAAGGTACTATTTTGAACGCTGTAAGAGGTTGGTCAGTTATGCTCCGTATGTGTAGGGGAAGAGTGTTGAAAAATCTTGGGCCTTTGATGTTGATAGAGTTCTCTTTCAGCATGCCTATTGCAATTCTGCTTTTCAATGGGGGTATTTTTCACATACTGCGATGCCTCCTGGTCTCATGTGGTGTTATTTCTGTACTGTATGGAAATTTAGAACTAGTCCTTTTAATATTTTCCAGGAACAGATGACTGCTGAATCCTGTTGAAGCTTTCCTGTCCCATAGCTCATGGTAAGCCTTACCCACTAGTTTTCCCCTGGCATATTACCGGCTAATTGTTTAACAACCAGATACCCAGTTACTGTTGGGTAAACAGAGATGTACAGTTAAGGATTGGCACCTCGTAAATTCTCTTTTAGCATTTGAAGAAATTTATAATTACAGCTGTGACTTGTGATCCTTTCTTTCCTCTTCAATGTGGTTGTTAAGAATAGACCAAGCCTTTTCAACTTGCTGCTGAGTATAATCTCCGCTCCATTGTGTACAAAACACAACATTGGCTCGTGCAACACGATCTTTGTTTGACATCTGATTATCAATTCTTTTTTCGGCTTCTTCTTGTGTTTTCCCATCACGTTCCATAATGCGACAGATTGCCTCTTCTCTTTTGATAATACATACCCAAACCTGAAATAATCAAAAGCATAAAACAAATTATTGTATGGAATGTAATATTCCAGTTACAAATCTTAGAAGTGTTCATCTAATTTTCCCATTGTGATAAGGGCACAAATATCATTCAGGTGTGGGTAGGGGGCAACCCCTCAGGGAAGCCTTCAAAATAAGAAGCAAACTCCCATGAACACTCAAAGAAAATGGTTAGTTGGCAAAGTACCACAAATACTCAACCTGATCAAAACACACAATAATGGCTGACCTAGAGCTCCCATGATAACTAAACTCCACAACATACGAAAACCTGCTCAGTGGTCATTGCTTGACAGCTCCCATCCCCAAGAAAAGCAGAGCTGACAAACCCAGACAAAAAAAGGATCCCAAAGAGATCAAATGCACACAATTCCAGAAAGGATAGGAACAAAAGGGAAAGAATAAAGGAGGAGGAAGACAGAGATCCCCATCTCCCCAGGGTGAGCCAATTCAATAAGAGATACAGAAATGACAGACGTTGTAAGTCCCAGGGTGGAAGAGTTAACCCATTCACAGGCAGTATAGTGGAGGTAGTAATAGATGGCCATTAGAGTACAAGAAGAAACATTGCCATCCTACAAACTCACACCACAGTGAGTGCGGAATCAGAGGGCCGGTGAAGAAGGACTTCTAAGAACTGCAAGGGCTTGACGAGTCGTAAAGAAATGACCAAGCAGGAAACACTGGGCACAGAGGCCACTCACTGAATAACATGAATGCTGAAAACACCCTAGGGGCAAAGGCAGCTGTAAAAAGTATGAACTGTGCACGTATAATCAGCATGCAAACTTTCTTTGTGAGCCCTTACATGAAGACTTTAACTCCCTCCATGCACAGTTTGTAGAGGAGTCAAAGACTCGTGCACTGCTAAGGGTGAGGATCCCTCCTTAGGAAGCTGGCCTCTCAGGTCAACCTGTCCTCTTAAAAAGAACGTCGCTTTTGGCCGTTTGTCCGTATGGCCGAATATGGACGTAATTTGAAAATTAAAATTTTTTTTAAATAGATTTGGGATTTTTTTTTTCAACAACAGTAAGTTAAGGGTCCTCTGATAGGTTAGGTGGGCAGGAAATTCTCATAAAGTTTCAAAACGTTATGAAAAACGTTAATGGAAAGTTCCTCTTCTAAGCTGTCCGAGGAGGGCCGGACGACTCAAACAGAAAACAGAACAGTACGTCACTTTTGTGAGTCGATTTCATTTCAAATTACGTCCAAATTTGGCCATAGTGCTCATACGAGCCAAAAGTGACGTTATTTTTAAGAGGACGGGTTGCGCAGGTAGCCACCTGAACCCATTATCTCATTTTCTATGCTTTGCTTACTTTGCTGATTTTATGATTTAGTTCACCCACTTTTCTGGTGGCCTTTTCTGGTTTAAGGTAATCTAGGATTTTCTGTTCCTTATACCACTTTAGAGGGACCCTGGTTTTGGCCTCTGGTGCCCAGCAGCCTCACAATGACTCACAAGGGCCTGACAGGGATGATTTGGGTGAGTTATCCAAGTAGCTAGCACAAAAGAGCTTCCCTTCCCCATTGAAAATTTCAGTCCGAGACACTGACACAAAGTGAAAAAATGAAATGACTGACCGAATGGTTAGCTTCTCTAGCACCAGGCTACAAACCAGTAACAGGGAAACTAACCAGCTGTTTAGGATTTTGATAAATTTTGCAGATTTATTAACATTTAAATTTTTTTAAAGCACTGTGGTTTTTGAGAGTTCCTGGACTTTTGTGGCTTTACTGTATTAAATACTCGGTACTTGAACCTAATGCATGTAAGACACCAAAAATATAGAAGCATACTTTAAAATAGTGTATGAAGGTTTCTACATTAACAATACAACAGCTCTTAATAGCTACAATTATATTTTTTAGCATGAACTGTAAGAAAAATATTATTAATAATTTTGTATTCCGAAATAACTTACCTGATGACAAAGAGTATCCCATCCAGCTTCAAGAAGTACTGCAGCATCCAGGATAATAATGTTGAATCCCTTGTCATCCAAATCACTGATGCATTTCTTTGCCAGATTTCCTATTTCCGGCCAAACAATACTATTTAGTTTTTCAAGGGCTTCCTTTTCACCAAATACCTTTGCACCTAGGACTTTGCGATTGATTTCACCATCACTGCCAACAATATCTGAACCAAAGGTTTCAATCAGCTTGATGTAACACTTTGTATTTTTCCTATAAGCCTCATGACCTAATTTATCACAATCGACTATACCTGCACCAAGCTTTTCAAATCGTTTTGCAACACTTGATTTACCACTTGCAGAGCCACCTGACAAGCCAATAATATATGGATGACTTGGAATGTTAGTGTTGGGAGTTATAGGTTTAATAATTGTTCCAAGAAGTCTCATTCTTTGAGAACTTGCACTAAGTTTCACCTCCTCCTCGTCATGTACTCGGAGTCGGTCATCTACTAATCCAATGATGTATCCATCAAGTGCTTTAAGACCACCTTTTTCACGTTCTTTATTGATGCTTATTATACCCTTTTTAGTTTCTTCACTCACTACAATCATATCCATATCAGGATCCCATCTTGTGGGTCCCATTGGATCGGTAATTTGTACAATATTATAGTTAACAGTAGGATCAATATCAATGGCAAGCTCTTTTACATTACTAATCCTCTTATCACAAGGCTCAATTAGTTCAGCTAGTGTTTTGTTTTTCAGAAGCGGCCCATCTGCAACGCCACAAGTCAACCTGTCTTTACACCTTATTAGTGCTTCAGATAAAAGGATCTTGTGGCCAGCATGTATACAATCAAAGGTTCCACCAATAACAACACTGGAATAGATTTGATTTGATGCTTCATTAATTGGATCTACTGGCAGTTGAACTTCTTCATTTTGACACTCCTCTTCAAGCAAGAAAACCTTACTTTTACTGCCAGCTACAAAACTTTTATACCTCTTTTCCAAATCAACCAATTCAAGCCCACTTCTTGTTTGATCAAACATTACTAAATCAATTCTCATGCGAGTTTTAAGGGGAACTTCTAAAAAGTCCTTAAATCCTGCCATGAGGATTCTTACATCCAAACCTTGACACTGGGCTGGTGAACTGGCGTATATATTTGTGATGATATGGCTGTAGAGGGCAAGGCACTGCTTGGTCTCTGGCAATTTGGTCTTAGCCAATGGGTCAAGATGAATGTACAAGGTCTTGGTGACATGCTGAGATGCTGCCTTCAGAACCTTGGAGAAAGAAATAACCATTACATATGAAATTAATGAAACAGATTTTGCTATCAAATAATAAAACAACTTTTGCTTATATTTTTTGTTTAACACTAGTTAGATGAATTTATAAATCACTGGATCTATACAATATACCATACTGTACTATACAAGGAAGCATAAAAAGCTTTATAATAATTTAGGGTACAGTATTAGTAGATAAAATTTATGCAGACGAGGAGTCAGAATAACGTAGCTGAAATATGTTGACCAAACCACACACACACTAGAAAGTGATGGGACGACAACATTTTGGTCCGTCCTGGACCATTGTAAAGTCGATTGTGAATCATCCATTGTTCTGGATAATTTGACAGTCACTCTAGTCAAAATTAATTTAATTATCAACAGTGGTTGATAATTAACCAGGAACTAACCTTTTCAGCCAGGAAGCATATTATCTTTTTATTCTTTGCAATTGTTACAGACGAAGTCACCCATCCAGTCACTATCGCTCAGCATGTTTGTATACCATATGGCAACCCAAAACGGCGACTGAGAGTTGCTAGTCACGTTAGACAATATTCATTGGTGTGAACACTTACCCAGAGTAACCTAATGCACAGGCGGTGGCTGACATTGGCAGAGCCTGCATTGATACACTGTATATTGCGTACTCTACTATGTAGTAAATATGTTTACCCCTGACCTTCCTATGGAAGTCATACTATGTAACTTGTTTAGCTTAGGTAGTATGTATATTATCAAGGTATCAAGGCAAGCCTCACTCTACTGCCACCATGTGATGCAGATTTGAAAGGTTTTGGCAATCCTTTGTATGTCTTAGAGAGGTAGCTAGTACAGTTGCCTTGACTCTCAACTTACAATTGGGGATCCCAGATTTGATTACCTGGTAGGACAGAAATGGTTGGGCACATTTCCTGTCACCTAAAGCTTCTGTTCTCCTAGTAATAAAATTACTGTAGGTACCCGGGAGTCAGGCAACGGTTGTGGGGTTGCATCCTAGGGAAGATCAGTAATTCAGCCTACGGGGGAAGGGGTACTGCAATACAAACCTAAACTTTATACACACAGGCTTCCTGGCCTCCACAATGGGAATTAATTATTACATAGGACCGTAAGGGGTCGGTCTCTTGCCTTGGGAGATCTACATCACAAGGTTCGTGATGGTCAGTACAGTATTAAGAACGGTGGGAAGAGTCAGGGGAAATGGCATTAATTATATTTAATAATATTTAGTTATAGCAATATATACTGGAGCTTAGTTTTTATTCATCGTTGTGCATACAGTATTTGTGTTAAGCTAATATGCTCAAGTGCATTACACCTGTGCACTGTTTCAATAGCAGACTGTTACATCACCGCTTTGGATAGTGGTTAAGTGATATTAAGCTATATACAGCAAAAATTTTCAGTACATGTATGTATGCTCTAACGTACAGTGGAATCCCAATTATCCAGACCAACTGGTTCCAATCTTTCCTAGAGTAACTGGACTTTTCTTGATTTTTAATTTTTTTTGCTATTTTTATGTAGAAATTCAGTATACTGTCAGTAATGTATTTGTACTAACAAAAACAAAATAATGCAAATTTGCACATACAGTACAGAATTTGCACATACAGTACAGAATTTGCACATACAGTACTGAATTTGCACATACAGTATATAATTTGCACATACAGTACAGTATTTGTACATACAGTATGTAATTTGCACACACACTGGCTTCCTGTCCCCCAACACACTGAATTATTATTATTAATTATTACAAGTATTTGGATATAATATTCCTGTAGAAAAGGTAAATTTAAAAAATACAGTACAGTACAGTATAACTTGAATATTGCCGGCAAGTTTAGTTAAGTGAGAATATGACCATCTATTTAGATATAGTCGCATGTAATCTTAACTGGATCATGTTCCTCCATTTCATCTGGACTGGTGTTTGAAGATTACACCACTGCATAGTGACTTTACCCTTCAAAACGGAATGGTTTGGGTCAAACTTTCCCTGTTTTTTCTTCAGAAAAAGGTTCTATAGTATGTACGTACAAATTATGTACAAAATTATTTCTTAGTACAGTATTTAAAAAAAAAAATTGATGTAAGTTTATTAGATTTATTTACAACGCTGTTGACCAGACCACACACTAGAAGGTGAAGGGATGACGACGTTTCGGTCCATCGTGGACCATTCTCAAGTCGATGGTCCAGGACGGACCGAAACGTCGTCGTCCCTTCACCTTCTAGTGTGTGGTCTGGTCAACATACAGGCATACCTCAGTTTAAGAGTTTAATTGGTTCCTGGAGACGCCTCGTATTCTGAAAACTCGCATTCCGAAGCTAATTTCCCCATAAGAAATAAAGGGAAATGAATTAATCCGTTCCTGACTACCCCAAAAACCCCACATCAAATTAAATTTTTATACCTAATTCATCTAAATAAACCTACAAAACTATGTTCAAGTTATTACTTACCTTGCTGTTGAATGCTGTAGGCGTATGGAAGATGGTGAGGAGGTGGGAGGAAGAGAGGAGTTACTGTTTGGAAGGGGAGTCCCCTTCCATTATCACATCAGGCAGTGAGGACTTCATTGGTATGCACACACTGGCACATTTTGCCTGCATACCACTAGGACTTGCTTGTTTTACTAAGAATTTATCTAATGACACTTGTTTTTCCCTACATTTTAACACTTGTCTGTAGTAAGACATCACATTATCATTTAAAAGGTCAATGCAACGGCCTGCTACAGCTTTATCTGGGTGAGTTTTTTCAACAAAACTTTGCAGTTCTTCCCATACTTCACACATTTTCTTAATCAAGAAGGGACATCCTCTACTGCCTCTACTCACAGCTATTTTCTTAGGTTGAACCTTACCAATGGCTTTCTTGAGACCCATGGCAAGATATATAATGACAACTTTTATGCTCAAATGGCCAAAAAACCGATAAAAAACTGTAAATCCTTGTGAAGAATTCAGGTGGGATAGTCACTGGACACGAGACACTGGTAAACTGAGGTGCGATCGCCATGCCACCACGCGCCAGTCGGCCTGTACACGTATCAACAAACTCGCGTCCCGAGGTAACCCTCGCCTTCCGAGACATATTTTTGGAGTAAATCCTGCTCGTCTTCCGAAAAACTCGCATACAGGGACACTCGCATTCCGAGGTACCACTGTACTTTAGCCACGTAATTGTGACTCATCACCTGCATATTTACAGGGCAAATTGGGTACAGAGGGAGTACAGTACCTAAATATCTGGACAAATTGTATTGGACACTAACTGGATCTAACTTCTTGTTGTATCCAGTTTTTCAAGAGTGAATTCCACTGGAGTACGAATTCACATTGGTTCTGTAATACACTGGTATCATACAAATTGCAAATACAAATTCTGGAAATAAAATAGACCTTAGGCAACTGCAAAACAGTCATATCAGACGGTATTCTATTATATTTGACATTATCTAGATCTAATTGAAGATTATTAGAAATTAGACCATTAAAAGTAGTAAACCAGTAAGAAACACTAACCTTAGGCAAACTTGGGATAATCTTACGGACAGGCTGAGTTAAAATCAGCAGGCCAGTCATGGAACCCATCTGAATTCTCAAGGAAAAAAATGCACTTTAATTTCTAGTTAGGAATTGTGTTACATAATTGGTCTGTAAACAACACTTATAGTTGTTAAAGAGCTGGGAACAAATTTATGGTATTACATTTAGTTTTGCTGTTTACATCTACTTAACTACTAGATGTGTAATTCTATTACAATACCATAGCGTAATTAAGTTCATATTCACAGCAAGAGAAAATATATATTTCACAACGGATACTGTTGTAAGTAAATATGCTAGTGTCTATAGAATTTTAATGCAATGCATATAAGGTTAATCAATCTTCTCTGCAATAATTAGCCAAATAGCCAAATAATCACAAGAAAATGAGGGTAAACTAAAGACGTTGCAGAACATGCCAAAGTACTCAAATTTACAGCTACAGGTTAGTTGATATTAAGGTGATCAAAATAGTAGAAGAGGATGAAGTCTTTCTTAATAGTGAGTCAGGGGTCCAAAGAATACCCAAGGCCACCCAAAGCCTCCTTAAATTACATTAGTAAATAATAAATATAACATATTTGCTTAATATAATGTTTGTGCTCAATGTAGAGTGTGAAAAAAGTTTCATTTGGAAATAAACTCATTTTATTAGGAAACAACATGAAAGGTGGTGATGGGTGAAGGCGATCAAGATCGAGGATTTGAGTGTCTCGTGGACTTTTATTTTTTATGGCCATCACTTACCATCAATTTTGGTCTTATTTCAATATATTTCTGAGCAAAATTATGTTTTTTTCATGTTCTACATTTAATGCCAACATTACAATAAGGAAATGTTATATTTATACTTTATTTCTGTAATTTAAGGAAGTGGCTTTGGGTAGCTCTGGACAATTCTATAGACCATCAATCAGTACCAACTCCCTCATTCTCTGCTGACAAGTCGGCACAAAACCAAAGTGGCATTATCCTGGCTAACAGTGTGCAGAATGCAGACCCAGGAGGTGCCAGAAACCAAGAAATTTCTCAACCCCCCTAGGCGCATTGTAATTTTTTTTTTAATTATGCATACTACATACAAAATAGTAATGGAAATCAATAAAATTGATAGGGAAGAATTCCTGAGACCTAGAACTTCAAGAACAAGAGGTCATAGATTTAAACTAACTAAACTAAGCTGCCGAAGAAATATAATTAAATTCACTTTCGTAAACAGTGGTAGATAGTTGGAACAAGTTAGGTGAGAGGGTGGTGGAGGCCAAAACTGCCAGTACTGTAGTTTCAATGCATTACTGTATATGGTTAAAAGTGCTGGGAAGATAGGACACCACGAGTGTAGCTCTCATCCTGTAACTGCACTTAGGTAATTACACTTAGGTAATTACACTTAAGTAATTACAAATATGAAGACTGAACTACAGTATAAAATACAGCTGGAAAAAATCCTCAAGTTATTTCTTGATTCCACCTCTGCCACTAGAGATGGTGGCATTCAGGAAAATACATCAAACATATTGTAATTTAATTTTGTTCCAGTGTCAATGCACTATTTGGTTAGGTTTGGTGAGGCACAGGTGACTGACTTACCACTGTCACTTCTGTCTTCCTCATAACAGAAAAGAATATTTTTTTGTATGTAAATGAGATGGCAATGGATAAAGAATTTAGTCCAAGAATAGCACACCAGTATAATCAAACAAACATTAAATTTGGAGGAAACTTTAATACAGTACTCTAATAAACATGTCAAATGCAGTCATCAAATTGATGTATATGTTGGTTATGTTAAAATTCTTATGAAAATTAACTCCTCAATGAAAGTGACTCTCACTGTATACTGAAATTTGGTATTGTACATTATTTTACACATTCAAATTTTCAAGTACTGTACTGTAAGTTGCATTTTTCATCTCGGGAGCATGGTAACTTTAACACAGTAACCTTGCTACGCTTTCTAACTTCAGAATAATTGCTATGCTTTCTAATTTCAGAATTGCTTTTAAATACATGGATGGCAAAATACTAAAGAAATTGTTCACAACTTTTGTTAGGCCAAAGCTAGATTCTGCAGTGGTTGTATGGTGCCCATATCTTAAGAAGCACATCAACTGGAAAAGGTGCAAAGACATGCCACTAAGTGGCTCCCATAACTGAAGGACAAGAGCTACAAGGAGAGGTTAGAGGCATTAAATATGCCAAAACTAGAAGATAGAAGAAAAAGAGGTGATATGATCACTACGTCTAAGAAAGTAACAGGAATCAATAAAACTGACAATTGAATATATGCTGGTTAGCATTGTAAATGTATGGCCACGACTGTGGTAGAAAATAATAATAAAGAAAAACTAATATAAGAAAACCTTGTAAATTTTCAAAAATAAATCAAACATAATCTCATTACACATGACTTATGGTATTCCTCAGAACTTTGTCCAGCTTTGCTGTGTATTTAACAATATAAAGACTCAACCCTGGTACTACATATTCAAATTTTTTTCAGGCAAATTCTGGCACAGCATCAATGTGCCTGAATTAAAATAGAGTGGTGTCCGTTGTGACTATTATATATCAAAACTGTGCAGCAACCCATGTTCCTGGATCCAAATAGCACAGCATCTATAATAATAGACAGTTTATAATAATAAACAGCATCTAATAGCAATAGTGTTGATTAAAAAAAAAAAAAGAAAAAAAAAGAAAATAAAAAGAAAATAACAGACATGGGTTGACAATAGAGGAGTGAGGTAGATTACAGGGAATTTATTAGGTAGTGTTTAGTTTTTATCTTAAACTGGTTGAGAGAGGTACAGTCTTTAACATGGTTGGGAAGGTCATTCCACATTCTGGGCCCCTTGATTTGCAGAGCATTTCTAGTTTGATTAAGACGTACTCTAGGAATATCAAAACTGTATTTATTTCTGGTGTGGTGCTCATGGGTTCTGTTACAACCTTCTATGAAGCTTTTAAGATCAGGATTGGCATTATAGTTTAGCGTTTTATATATGTATAATACACATGAGAGAATGTGCAGTGACTTAATATCTAACATATTAAGAGATTTGAGTAGGGGTACCGAGTGATGTCTGGGGCCAGAGTTGGATATTGTTCTAATAGCGGCTTTGTGTTGGGTAATTAGAGGACGTAAGTGATTTTGGGTAGTAGAACCCCAAGCACAAATACCATAGTTGAGATAAGGATAGATAAGGGAGTAATAGAGAGTCACCAGAGCAGGGTGTGGTACATAATATCTGATCTTAGAAAGAATGCCCACAGTTTTTGAAACTTTTTTTGATATATTTAGAATGTGTCCCTGGAAATTCAGCTTGTGGTCAATGAGAATGCCAAGGAATTTGCCATCTAATTTGTTACAAATTTGGGTATTGTTTATTTTGAGATTTATAAGACTAGAGGATTTATTGCCAAACAGAATATAGAAGGTTTTGTCAATGTTAAGGGTGAGTTTGTTGGCAGTTAGCCAAAGATGGACTTTATTTAGCTCAGTATTTACTATGGCATTTAGAGCAAGAGGGTCAGGACTGGAGTAAATGAAAGTTGTGTCGTCAGCAAATAGAATTGGTTTGAGGTGTTGGGAGGCATTTGGAAGGTCATTAATGTAGATGAGAAAGAGGAGAGGGCCAAGTATGCTGCCCTGAGGAACACCAATGTTGATGGGTAGGGTGGGAGAAATTGTATTATTCACAGAAACATATTGGAGCCTGTCAGTAAGGTAGGACTCGAGGTATTGTAGGGAGTGTCCTCTGACTCCATAATGATGTAATTTAAGAAGAAGGTTATGGTGGTTGACAGTATCAAAAGCTTTATGCAGGTCCACAAATAACCCAACAGGGAGCTCCTTTTTATCAAGAGCTGTATGAATCGAGTTAAGCATACTAATAAGTGCATCGTTAGTGCTTTTTTTGGGTCTGAAGCCATATTGGCAAGGGCTAAGTATATTGAGTTTGGCTAGATATGAGTAAAGCTGCTTGTATATAAGTTTTTCAAAATTTTTTGACAAGTTTGGCAGGATTGATATAGGTCTGTAGTTGTTAACATCTGTGGGGTCACCACATTTGTGGACAGGCGTTACTCTCGCTTTTTTTAGAATATCTGGAAAGGTTTGGAGTTCAAGTGACTTGTTGAAGAGCAAAGCAATAGCAGGGCTAAGCACTTGGTCGTTAAAAGATTTGGCAGGTCGTATTCCACGGAAAAAAATAGGATTAAGTACCTGCCCGAAACGCTACGTGTGCTAGTGAATTACAAGAATGTAAGAACTCTTGTATATATAAATATATAAATAAATAAATAAATATATAGATTACGGTACTCAAATACATGCCTGCCCAAAAATACAGCTAATTGTCACCCTGACCCTTTCCCACTGCTTGTCTTAAACTACTTGCATGTTCTCAACAAGGTGCCTCATAACTTCATTCCGGCATATACATTTACCATCAAAAGATGACAATGCAAAACTTTTCGTTCATAACTCACTATGTTCATCTTGCCTGTCACACTTACAATGATGTGCTTGTTGTTGATTTACGGGCTTGCTGTAGCACAAGTGCTGTATGTACCTCGGAGGTCGAGTGTCGGGGAATATCACAGTACTAGTACAGTAAGTACTGTACCAGAGTGCTGTAAGATGAAGGGCAGCTACGGCGCTATGAGATAAATGTTGACCTTTGTCCCCCTTCCAGTCCCTATATTTACAACCATTTTCTATGAAAGAGATTTTCAGAGAAAATTTCCTTCCTCTCTCTCACTCTAAGGTAGTCATTTTTATTTGTATATTCAGATTTATTTATATTTGTTATTTATTTATATACAAGAAAGAACATTGGGCTATGAAAATACATACACTTGTGACTGAGTGGTACATTCTTGCAAAGCCACTAAGATGCATAGCGTTTCGGGCAGGTCCTTAGGCTAACAAATAAGTGTAATGATAGGTACACTGTAACAAAATTTTAATTCACATAATAGCTACCTTTTTTTTATTAACAAGCATAGGTATACAAAGCAATGTGCTACTACCCTATTCTGTATGAAGAATTACAAAGAGTAAATAAAAAACTAGCTATAAGTTAATCTAATATCCCCATCTCACAGGATGGTTAGTCATACAAGGAATCAGGAGAGAACATGAAATGTGAGGCTGATCTATTAGCCTCCACTAGCACACTCTGGATACAGCACAAGAATATCTTCCAATGTGTATATCTTCCTGAGTGTATGAAGTAATTACAGAGCTCAAAGTACCTCATACTTGCCCGAAATGCTATGCGTACTAGTGGCTTTAGGTATTGTATGTACTACCTCTATTTTTAAATCAAACAGAATGTTTGTACTGTAACTCTGCAACTATGTATGTACTTTTCCTAAATAAATTATTATTATTATTATTACCATTTGGTCTGAAATCATGGATAACAGGCCAGTCACAGGTATAGTGTTGGAGAGGATGTCTCAGCTCTTGTTCACGTAGTTTACAAATGAAATGTTCACAATTAGGGGATTCATTACCTGCAGCCACCTGCCATAGATATCAACATCTCAGCCTAATTCTAGCAATTACAATGTCACACTGTCAAGTGGGTGTTTTGTGCTACCCGTACTTACAGCATAGGGTTATTGACCCATGGAACCGCCTACCACCGAAGCCGTTAATGTCAAAACTATGTTAACCTTCAAAGTACAGCTGTAAAAGATCGTCAAGGCAAATGGGGGGACCTTCGACAAGCCGACAGCTTCTTGTCCTCGTCGAGGCCAGTAGTGTTATTGGCTTTCAGGTAATTTAGGTAAACTTGCAGTTCTTAGTTCTGAACATATCATAACTATACATGTGCTTTCTGGCCTTTGATTGTCAATAAACGTTCTTCTGCCGTCCCTAATTTCCCTAATAAATATCTTTTTGTAAGGCCTCAATATCGTTTTTGTTTACTATTTCTCCAAAGACCGTAGTGTCATCTGCAGATTTGATGATGTTTGTAATATTTTCATCAATGTCATTGATGTACATGATGAAAAGAGTTAGCCCCAAGACTGAACCTTGCGGTACTCCACTCACCGCATTTGTTCATTCAGATTCATTTCCACTTACGAAGACCCTTTCCTTTCTCTGTTTTAATCACTGTTTCATTCTGGGACTTGACCATTTATTCTAAGTACTTGATCATTAATTCTATGTGCTTGTAATTTCCTGACCAGTCTTTCATGTACCATTTAATTCCCATTCAGTTACATCATTAAGATCTGACACGTCAATAGCTGTACAGGCAAGATTGATGGTTCGTTGTCTGTTGGGGGGGGGGGGGAAATGTCATTAAGTTTGTTCTGTATGTTAATTGGGAGTTGTAACTTGATGTTAGTGCCCATTGATCAAAGATAATGTTTACTTGTTCTAATGAGCTGTGGTGCAGTGATTTGGCTGGGTTGCTTCTAGAGATTTTTCGTTTTTTTTCCCCCCAAACTTCAACAAATGATGTTTGCTCGTTAATACTGTGTATGAACTCTTCCCAATGTTTATTTCGTATAACATTACTCATTTCTCTCACCTCTCAATTCGAGACAAGAAATGCATGTAAATCTTCTTGTGATTTTGTTCGTTTGTATGAATCTCCAAGCTGTGGTACTCGTTCATGTTAATTAACAAATACCGAGTCAAGGACTCACTTGGGTGGGACTGCTAGGCTTACGGCTTGTTCCCCAACACACCCATGTTTCATAGTAGGTAGTAATTGTATCATCGAGGTCTTTGGAGAAAGCCTGTACATTCGGTATTGTGTAATATTGATACCATTTTGAAATACAATAAGGTGGTTATGCAAACCATATGGAATATTCATTTTCCGTCTCTGATGTATGTTAGGTACATCACACCGTACCTTATAGTACCCGGGAACTCTGAGACTTGAGGAGGCTAGGATGCTCCCAACTTGCAGTACTCGAGCTACCTGAAGCAATTTCCGAATACAGTGATACGGGATGTGGAATGTGTACTTTCACAGTGGGTGACACTGTCTCACTTCATGAAAGTGACAACTCGTATGATGACTAAGTTGACATGATTAAGTGGAAGGCGCATGTAAGCCAATTCAGGTGGAATAATGGCTTTGTTATGATGCAGTGGGAACTGTGTGACCAAGTCCCATCTTGCTGCTAATGGTGTGAACGCCTCCTGAACGTCACGAACTAAAAACACCATCAGCAGAATAGACGCGATTTTGCGGAATTATTTGAAATTTTATAGAAATATAGTAGGCTATGTCACGCTATCATTAATGCGTTCTAGGCTCACTCATGCTATAAATCTGTGCTGGAAAGTTTTAAAAGTGAAGGATGAAGAAGTCACTTGTACATTTCAGTCAGATTCTGATGAGTGTGAGTGAGCGAGCGAGTGACAAATGAAAGGTTATGATGCATTCATTGTCAACTTTCCCTCAGGAGCGTCATTCATCGCGTCACTATTCATGTTTATAATGATCGCAATGTACAGTGTTAACTATTGCTTTTTGTGGTGTCAAAACACGTCGTTCCTAGAGTTGGGAAGCTCGCTGGGACCTCACGATAAGAGGGATGATCTCCTCAACAAAGTGTACGCTAAGTGGCACGATTAAAGCGTCGGATGTGGTGTTTTGTGAGCCAGGGTCACCATCGCCGCCTCGCTCCACACATCCCAGCAGGCAGGAAAGCCCACCTCAAGATGCGTCGGGGTCGACCGGGTCAAGTCATGAATGTTTTCTTTCAATGGGTACATGTCACAGGGAATGTCCGGTGTGCAGGTGGTGTCCTCACGCTCCTCCTCCTCCATCTCCTGTATCATTCCCTATGGGGGGGGGGTAAGGTCGGCATGCTCGTTCACGCTCCTGCAGGAGGATGGTGGGGCTCGTCCCCTCCAACTTAAGGTCTCCAACCCTTCATCTTGAGGCTTAAGATGAGTTCGACCCTTCACCCTGGCAATGCCTCTAAGATCGTGACCGTGAAAAAAAGTGCCAAACTGACAAAACAAGGTCTGAAAGGCCAACAAAAAAGTTGAAGAGGAATTATTTGTTGGCGGATTTGGAATTTTATTTGCTAACGGATTTTTTTTTAGGGCGGGGGGCAGTTTTAGAATTTTTTATGGGTGTAAATAAGAGAAATATGACCATAATTGAAAACGGATATTTGTCATATTTTGCCCAAACTGACATGCAATTTCAAAACTATGATGCTTTAAAATATTATGCTTGAGTGCTACTTCTGAACGTATCTAAAGGTGATGTGAATGTGTGTACAATCACCATAAGTTACCATTATTATTTTGAAACTTACTCACACATGGCTTGATAATTGCTCACCAGGACGAATTAAACGTCGTCATTCCTCCATCTCCTGATGTGTGGTTTGGTCACTATATCTTGTTACGAACCCGGATGCAGCGTCCGAGCACGGAGCAGTGACGACCGCGCCATCTGTGGGTCAGCTCCCGAAACCCCCTCCAAACGGACGACGACACCTGGTGAGGACGACGTGTACTGGCTACGAGGGCCAGTTTCCAGTCCCGTTCAGCGCTCAACACAGCCGCTGCTGACCTCTGGTGAGGTGAAGCTCAGACAACTGCGCCATCTATGGAGTGGATAGGTGGGCGTTTGTGCCTGAGCCCGTAAGTGAGGTGTTTTAGTGTGTCCCAGTTATTGATGACGTGTCTGCTTACAGAGTCGACCTGGGACTGCTGTGATGGAAGTTGAGTCAGTCTACTCAAGGCAGCCGTCTCCATACCTTGTGCTTTGCTGCAGCAGCTGTGAAGTCGTCCCCCGGAAGAACACTGTGGTGTTACCCTGCCAGTGGAGTGGCAGTAGAAGGATTACCCGGGACCGACTGCTGGAGACGATTATCCACTGGGGTATTGAGGACAGGAGTGTGATTTGTGGTATCACACGAGGCTCCTCTCTAGGGCGTTACCCTAATATCGCCCGTGGAGTGGCCTGACCAGCGTTGCTGATCCGGAACCTGCCAGCAGACCTGCTGGACTTGTGGTTGACGGCCTCCACGGCGGTGCCCCCAGTGGACCTGTGTTTTGGCTGACCTGTGGCCAGGGTAGGCTCAGCTTCTCAAAGGATTCGTTGTGAGGCCACGAAAGCACCGAAGACTTAGCACCGAGAGCTTGGATCCAGAGTCTTCAGGAGAAGACGTTTGTGTACAGTGTTAATACCCCTCCCCCCGTGTAATCTTTTTATATATTATTTATTGGTGGTGGTCAATATATTATATTAAGTTCTTGACTTTATTTCCCTTCCCCTTTAAGTTACTTGCGTCACGGATCTCATCCCTTGAAAGCCACTACTGGCTTGGGGCCGGATACAACTTCCTCTAACAACATCAGAGTAAGAACCCCGTTGCGTCCCGAGAGGGCCGTAACATATCTTCAACCACGTTATTGGGACTCATCGTCTGTAATAATTCATTGTGTCGGGTGACAGGCAGCCTGTTCATATATTCAGTACATGTTAGGGTTAAATCGAAGTCTCTTCTGAAGTCTCCTCAGGGAGACTTCGATATATCGAAGTCTCTCCCTCTCAGGATGCAACCCCACAACAAGCTGACTAACTCCCGGGTACCTATTTACTGCAAGGTGAACAGCGCAATAAGGTGAAAGGAAACGTGTCCAACTATTTTAGTCCTCTCGTAGATTGATCTCTGGTTCCATGAGTGT